TTTATATATTTTGATAAACAGTAGATTCTATTTATAACTTTATCTTAGATAAATGTAAATAAAATATTAGACTAGACACGTACTGACCTTAATCGATTAATATAAAAATCGGCTAGGTCAACAATAATGAGACTCTTGGTCGGAGTCTCATCCGAGATTCTTGGTCGGAGTCTCATCCTAGACTCTTAGTTTGAGTCTCATCATCGTCTCGCATCTTATTAGAAGAAGTGATGTGACGTGCCCTCGTTGCCTTTAGATGTTTAGCCCTTGGTAAGGCCCTTTTTATATTATTGTAACGTTGTAAATATATTATTTTATCTTTAATAAATTGTTAATAATTGTTGTTCTGCTCTTTTATTTTCCCGAGTCAGGTAGCACTTAGTCACTAAATAAAGTAGCTCGTGACAGTATTTCACACCTCTTCTTCCTCCTTAGACTACGCCTATGACAACAAGTCGATCGCGATAAAAACTGATCTTATATACAAAAAAGCTGGTCACCCCTGCTCTAGAGCCACTTTTTTAAAATTTGAGGAAAAAATTAAATCAAATTTCGGAATAGTGACTTCATTTTCATCTGAAAGTACATATTTTCCATTCACTAAAAATTAAAAATAAATTATAGAAATGTTCATGACTATTTCATATTGGTTAGAAAAAAATAATTGCTGAAGTAAATTTTTCTCCTAATTATATGTAAAAATTTTGCATATTTATAACCTGTTTGTAACAATTATGAAATACCTTGAAAATGGAAAATTCTATGACAAATAATTAGGAGGGGTAAAATAAATGCCAAAGAATGTTTTATATAATGATATTTACTCAAAATGGGCCATGTTCACATGTGAGATATACTGTTTTATAAATTATATTGTAATAGTTAGTCGCTATACAAGTTATTCTAAATAGTCAGTTCGTTAAAAAAGCCAAAAATTTTTAAATTAAGCCCAATTGAAATTTAAAATTTGAAATTATACGTCATCGGGAATAGACCAATCATCTTGTGTCGAAGTTTTTTTTGTTATACAAAACCAAGCCAACGAACAAACCAACACACAGAATGTCGAAGTGAACGCACATCTAAGTGACATTAAAATTGACACCACCTAACATCAGTAACATCTAACCTTAGCTTTTGTTTTGGTTTAATTTTATTATTAATATGAATCAGCTGGATTTATAAAAGTTGAATCAAGTGTTTTACCCATTGTAAACGAAAATATGATTACCGAGATGATTACTGCATTTTTTAACAATACTCAGTTTACAAAAGTCACAAAGGTAAGACTTTGTTTTAATAGTAGGTAGTTACAGTTTATATGGAGCAAGTAAAACATATTTATCTCAGGTTTTATTTTTAGATCTGCCAAGCAAGAATATGGGGATAATTTCTTTTTCCATAAGAGAGAAGGAGACAAATTACACCTAAACATAAAGTACGGCAAAAACCTTCTGATGTGGTTGCATTGTAATTAATGAAATTTTTAGTGCACAATATGCTTAGGATATGCTGCATGTCAAGGTTTGTAATATTTATTAAGCTTTTTTGTTTTTATATTACATATATAATAATACATATAATAAGGCCCTTTATTCCTATAAATATTTTTTTTCTAATTTTGACATATAGACATTTTTTGTAATCACAGCAAGTGTTAAAATAATCTAGAAACAGATTTTGTTAGTGAACCTAGTAATAATTATGATACCAAAGAATGCTGCAGAGCACCTATGAAATTTTGAGTTAAAAAATATGCCATATTTTTAGGCTATTTTTATACCCTTTTCAAAAATTTTATGCTCCTCGTTTTTTGCAAAACTTAAAATGCTCTATAGCTTCGAACAAAGTCAGCAAAGCACCTCTATTTTATAAAGTTTTTTCTATAAAAACAGCAACACCATATATTTATGCACTTGAAATATTATATTTTTAATAATAATAATAACCTTCGAAAGAAGCCAGCAGAGCAATTCGGTTTTTTAAAGCTTTTTTCTAAAAACCACACCCCATTTTTAGAATATTTTTAGACTCTTGAAATATTGTAAAACTTTACTAAAAAATTTTTATAATATTGTAGGAGCCAAAAAACGTGGTGTGGTTTAAAAAAAAACTGGGGTGCTCTGCTGGATTCGTTTGAAGCTAACAAAGCATCCCGTAATTTTTTATTTTATAATACTCAATAGCCTAAAATGAGACATAGCTGTTTAAACAAAAAATTGTATTTTTAAAAATAGCAATTTTTTTCGAAAAGCTCTATAATATTTCAAAAATGTGAATATGTGGTGAGATTGTTTTTTTTTAAGTTTTGAAAATCCGAGGTTCTTTACTGGATTCGTTCAGAGCTCTGCTCGTCTTGTTACATAAAATAAAGGCATTTTGTAGCTGGTTATATAGTTATTTAATAACTGCATATCTAACCCTTTTATTTTTTTCAGTTGGTTGTAAATATGTGGCTTCATAGAAGAAGTGAGAAACCATCTGTAACATCTATTCAGTGTTATTGGAAAGGCTCTAATTTATCAAAATGCGTAAATATTGATGTACACTTGGCTAGATTGTTAAAGAAACGTCTTCATCCACTACAGGAAAATAAATCAGTACTTTTATGTTCTTAGGATTTGTATATATTTTTTATTTGTAAATAAATTGTTTTTTACTTCATTTTTCTCATTTTTTATTAAAAGATTAATAAAATTTTCAGATTTATATATTTTTATTTGTAAACAATAATTGAAGAGTTTTTATTAAAAATCACCAATGTTAATAATAATAATTTAAGTCAATATTATTCTTTCTCATTTTTTAAAGCTACTATCAATAAACGTATTACTTTAGCTTGACCTATGATCAATTTTTAAATTTTGTGATATATTTGTTTCAACAGAAAAAAAATTAGAACCCTTTGACATTGGTTGTTTTTACTTAGATTTTCATAAAAAATAAACGGAACTGCAAACATGTTTTACTATCGTAATAACAAATAGCAACATTACATTTTTTTTCACATTTATCACTGTTGTCATTTTCATAAAGGATTGATAAGAAGGCACACTTTCTGGTTTTTTGAAAAAGGTAGCAAGAATTGTGATATTTTTAAATTTATCACCAGTGATACCACATGTAGTTACCCGATTTATTGGAATATATAGACTTTGCTACCACATTCAACTGAACTTGGTTGTTTTTAATATTTATCACTGTGACATAGGCGTTTTTGTCAAAATGTTTCATTTTAAACTGCTGTAAATAGGTGCCTTTGTTTTGGTAGTTTTAGTCCCAAAAAAATATATGCATATACAGGTACTCATTCCTCTTTGATTTGTTCGAAAAGTTAAAATTTTATAAAAAAATACATTGGCTGTTTAAAAACTCATTATAATCCCTGAAATGTGATAATTAGGTAAATTAAATTAAAAAAACAAACAAAAAAAATTTATTAAATTAATATTTACTCTTACAAAATAGGTTCTTGTAAGCTAACAAGCAATTATGCAGATATTACTAAGTAAATGTACTTGCTTAAAATTCACACACGAATGTGGTTTTAACTTGTTAAATTAACTAACCCTTCTTATAACTCTTTCCACATGTATTCTTAGAGATGCTATTCTTTTACTTAATTGTACATCTTCTGGAGAACTTTTTTCATTCTGCGATAGACTAGGTGTGGCTTTACTAAAGTGCATCCCATGTTTTCAAGTAGCTAAATATTCTGAAACCCCTATCTGCCATCATATGGGATCCAGGAACCAGTTTATTTAAATACCCACATTTTTCTATTATTTCTTTATCACTAGTTCTTCCACAAAATGATGAATAAATTCGGTATCTTCAAAACTTTCAGGAGATTCTGCATTTTCTTCCAGAAGGGTTTTTAGGTTATACACCTAAGAATTTATAGTAGCCTTATTTTCAATTTCCTGAAGGGGACAATTAGCAGAAATTGCTGCTACATCTTGATAATCCGGTGTATTTTTATTAAAAAGCTCACGAGAAACATCGCTAGTAGAAGGTTGATTTTCTTCTTTCCAAATTTCTAGGAACACTAATAAATAGTTTTGAAGATGAATGTGAATCATTATCACATTCTGGAACAAAACACTTTTTCGTAGTCATAATATTTATAAAAAGTACAAAATTAAACACTCAAATTCCAAATAAATTCTTGATCGAGACACTATGATGACAGATGCCATACAGTGCTGCCATTTTGCCATTTTCTGAATTATTAAGTGACTTTTAAAACAATGAAACTTTAAATATGGTAAAAGTTTAAACAGAAATAATACTTTCGAAAAACATTTGATATTATATACCTATTTAAAAGATATTTGTTTAACGATGTTTTAGAAGTCTAAAAGTAAGAAGGAGTACACAAACGAACGTACATCACTTCTCGTAAACCTTCTAGCCGGCAACGTTGTGTGCTAGCTCCTATTGGTCTATTCCCGGTGACGTCATAAATTTTAAAAAAATTCATAACTCCGGCAAATGAATAGATAAAAAAAAAATAAAAAAAATGTAGTTTTATTTTTAACTCTACTATTCATAAAAAAAATTTCAAAATTTTTGAACATGCCCCATTGCCAAAGAAAAATAAATAAAAAATATATCAAATACAACAATAATAATAGATTTTCCTACACTTCACCCCCATAGGAGTCAAACCACAAGCTAAGGCAGGAATGGCTTTTATTATTATTTGCTATGGTACTCTGGGACGACTTAAAGATATCTGATGGTGCCATTTTTTTTACAGGTGAGTAAAACCCGGATAACCCCACCTACCATCATTATTTGTAGAACCATACTTAAAAAGTTACAGGGTGTTTAAGTTAAAAATTTAAATTAATATTTTTAACATTGCTCTTAAACTGTTTCACATTCTTGTTTTTTTTTTTGTTTATAAAATATGAAAATTGAATAAATACGATTATTTTTTTAAATACATTTTAATTATTATAGTAATAATCTGGTTTTACATTTTTTGGTGACATTATTTTGTGGTAGTAGGAAAAATGTTGTACATCACTTGTGTGAAAAGTGATTTTCCACACTCGTGTGATAGTCGCACTCGGCTTGTGCCTCGTGCGACAATATTTCCCACTCGTGTGGAAAATGTCGCTTTCCACACTCGTAATATAATATACTATACTTGTTACTTAAGATTGTGACAGTAATTTATTATTAAATTTAAATAGATTTTGAGATTTTAACTTTTTTATTTAATTGATTGAAAAGCAGTGAGATAAGAAAAACTCGTGCATTAATAAACTTATTATTTCACGCAAAATGAGTGGGATAAGAAGGTATTATCTCACGGGCGTAGACAAAAATACTGAAGTTGAGTTCTACAGTTGCAAAATAACGTAAAAGTCTGTAATAAATATGTTAACACGTATATTTCTTAATTAAAAAGAACACATTATCTTAAACTTAAATACTATTTATGCTAAGTTCTAGAAATAAAAGTTACTCGTATTTCTCCAGCAGGTCTTAGTACAATATCAGATTTGTGCTTTATATGCTCAGGTCTATCATAAGCCTCTAACCGGAAGTTCCTCAATATTCCACATAGAGTTGCTTTTAATTCCAACATTGCGAACTTCTGACCTAAAAATTAATTCTACTAGTTTTACCAAAGAATACCTACCCAAGAAGCGAAACTGAATTAGTTTTCCTATGCACCAAAACAAGGGAACTTAATACACTGGGAAACGTATGAAAATTAATCAATTTTTGTCGTTTGGTTCATAAGACTTAAACACTTAATAAAGTAACAATGATAAAAAATTCTTACTATGTTCATTATGTCAAATAGATTATTTTAATAGGAAATAAGTACTGTAGGTACAATAACAATAGTCACTACACAATAGCGAAAGCAGATGACCTGGTAATTGTGTAAATAGGGAGTAGGGAATAATTATGGAACAGTGGTGCAAGGACCATTCACTGTCTATCAATCCCAAGAAGACAAAAATGGTCCTTTTCACAAGGAAGAGGATGAAAATTAAATTAAAATCTACAGAGCTCTTAAACACAAAACAAAATTTTGCAACAGAGGTGAAGTACCTAGGTAGCACTTTTGACAACAAGTTAACATGGAACTCACACTTAGAAAACAGAGTCAAAAGAGCATACATTACTTATGAATAATGGTGCCGAACCGTGGGGCGCACCTGGGGTTTGTCCCCCAGAGTCGTCACATGGACTTAAATGGCCATCATAAGACCTATGCTAACATACGGTGCAGTTGTCTGAGTACCGAATATCCAAAATAGACAAATTCAAATAACAGCATGTCTCAACATAACAGGAGCCATGAAAACCACACCACTGCCACAGAAGTAATTCCTAGTCTCACTCTCTTCGATATTTATATCAAGTAGGTTGCTCTTATGACAATAACACGCCATTTTACGGATGAAATAGAACCTGATGTACGATCTGGTGAGGCGAGTCGTCGCTTTTGGCCCCACTGCTTCAAGCGAACATGAACTTCATCTCACCGAGATATATCTTCCATAAGCCATATGAAGTTATAACAATAAATTGAAGAGCCGGAAGTGGCAGGTACGATGTATATCTACTCCGACGGTTCTAAAACAAAACAATGCTCAGGATTTGGAATATAATCCAATTCCTTAACCTCAACATAAAATGGACTGTGAGCAATATTGCCAATGTAGTTCAAACCAAGCTCACGGAGGTTCTCAGAGCAACAAAAGAAATTACTAAAAACAATATCACTGGTAGGAACATGTTTATCTATACAGATAGCAGATAAGCACTACTTGTCCTGAACAGATTACGGATTTACTCAGGGTTAGTACTAGAATGTCATGCAGCTTTGGCAAGAGTATCCATCCAACAATGCGATGGATCAAAGGTGACGCCACATCAAAAGATAGCCAATAAGGCGGCCAACCAAATACTTCTTGGACCTGGCCCTTCTATTGGACTGACAACATCGGCAGTGACAGACCTAATTAAAGAATATTCCCTTGTGAAATTGAAGGAAGGATGGGATGAGACAAGGAACTGCAGAATTACCAGGAAGCTTTTAAGTTATCCTGACAACACTACAACAAACAAATACTTGACTACGACTAGACATAATCTGCTTCTGATCATAGGCTTTCTGACTGGTCATTGCCAAGTACGCAAGCATCTCTATTTCAGAAATCTCAGAATCCTTACCCTACAGGGGGTGCGAACAAAAAGATGAGACCATTGAGCATTTCCTCTACGATTGCCCGTCGCTCTCACTTATTGGAAGATTAATTTTCGGTGAGTATTGATTAACACCGGCCGATATTAGAGAAGCACCTCTTGGCGACGTTGTCAATTACATTAAAACTGTAAGCTGGGTCACAAGCTAGGAGGTGCCTATCATCTTAAGAGGATACACAATGGGCCTATTGAGGCCTAGTGAGGCCTAAGTGCCGTAGGGGGTAATCCACTCGCCACACGTTACATATCCAGTACAGTAGGTAGCTGTAACTGCATATCGATTGCATCCTGATAGCAGCGTTTTGGTTCCTCGAAGTGAGTTTGTCATATATTTTAATGTTTGTTTTGTATTATTGTTTATTTACTGTTTTAATTTAAAAGGTTTAAAAAACAAAAAAATAACATATTTAAATAAAATACTAAGTAATTAAACGTAGGAATAAATTATCATTATTGGTACTTAATACTGATTTAGAATTAAAAAGGACACATTTAGATGCAAGAACGTTCAAAAAAAAATTACGAACAACGCAATGTATTTTTTTTTTTCATGTAATACAAATTTTAAATCTTATTTCTTATTACTACTTAGTTAAATACAACTACTTAACTATACTACAATTTTCACAAAACGCTAATAATAATATACCAAACGTTACTCTACATACATTGACAGGTATATTTGACGTTAAACCACCTCTAAAACACTGAGAAAACTTGGCAGTTTTTTGTCCACGAATCGCCCATTTAGTTTCGCTTCTTGGGTAGGTATTCTTTGGTTTTACTGTAGTTATTATAAATACTAATTTAAAATGTTTTTCTTAGTATCACTAGGAAATAGAAATAAAAAAAAATCCTAAGCAAAAAGGTTATAAGAGTTGATAATGCTCTGTTCTGGCTCTCAGCAGGGAATTGGGATTTGCTGCAGCTAAGAATGTTTACTTTGGGTCGATTGAATCTAATTTAAGGTATAAAATACAATTTTGGAGAGTATGCAGCAATGAAATGTTTCATAATACATTTGTTTTACAAAAACGAATGTTCGTCTACTATATTAAGCAAAATATTCTGCCTCTTCCAGGCAACTCTTTAAGACACATCAAATATTAAAGTTAACTTATCTTTTTATTTTAGAAGCAGCCAGCTTAATTTATAAAAACAAAAATACTTGTACAAATATTAATGAATCTGCTAGATATTCTGGAGATTTGGCTATGATTATACCTAAATCTACCTCAATCAAAGATTCAGTAACTTACAACGGCATTAAAATTTTTAATTCATTACCCTTATTATTAGTAGACAAATCATACTATGATATAGTTTAATTTTATCATAACAAAAATAGTAAATAACTATATGAATTTTATAAATGTTTTGGAGTGAGGGTGGCCATATGTGAGTAGTAGGGATTAAGTGTAAAGGTTAAAGAAAAGGTCCTTTATTTCTCACAAGTCAAAATAAAGGACCTTTTCTTTAACCTTTACACTTAATCTATAATTGTTAAAAGTGTAATTTTAATGTATTTTATTCGTTTTATTTGGATTTTATTTTAGCTTTTTAACTTTTTATTTATTTATATATTTCATGTGCTTTTCCATAAGATAATGTATCTATGACAATAAACATATATTCTCTCTCTACTGTGGCGCATGCGCAGTTTGAAAAGTGATCCAAAGTATCCCTCAATCTACTCAGTAGATTAGATTAGATTTAAAGGGAGTTGGATATTATTTGGTCTAGTCTACCGCGACCTTTTCAGATCTATTATGGGACTCCGTTTTTTAGAGTATGTCGTCTAGCTTGGTCTTTTTTATTAAACTTAGTAGCTTTGACAGTGCCTCCCGAATGCTTTTCCTTGAATCTAGCTTTTCTTCGCTTAATGTTTGAAATACCAATCTAGCCTGAACTTCACACTGGTACAGTACCTGAATTGATGTTTTCTCTTCTTCTTTAGAGCTAGGAATATATGCAAAACGCCATATTTTGCATATGTTGAATTTATATACAATTTTTGATTTTGAATGCATATATTAAAATTTTGTTAATTTTTTAGCATATATCTGACGTACAAATTGGCTGGACATATTAAAATTATGAGTTTTGGACCAAAATAATATTTTGTGAAATGCCTTTACAGGTCGATTTCCTAAAATTTTGAAGGATTAACTTTTCCCTGTAATAAATTACGGTTAATGGTGTAGGTACTTGAGAGGATTAAATTATAAACACCCTCCTTAAACCAACAAATTTTGCTAAATATCCTTTCAGGTAGTATCTTCAAATTTCTAAATGACTCAGTTACTTTCAACTTCATTTCAGTCTTTATTGTTGTGTTGTGTTAACCAGTGAGAAAAATGGCAAAATTAATTGAGTCGTGGGTAAAATCTTATTCAGATTTTGTTGTAGAAGGTGATAACCAGGTGTTTTGTAGAACATGTTCTAAAATTGTAAGTACTTTTTTATTTTATATTTTATTTTGACCTTTCACAATGGTATATCAAACGACAGTAAAATATTATTTCAACTCACAGTTAAAAAAAAGTAGGGCAACTTTACAACGTACGCATTTATTTAATTTAATTAAAACTTCAACATCTACAGGAATTTATTTGTTTTAGATTCTTTGTAAAAAAAAGTTTCAAATTGACCAACACGCGAAAACACCCTCACATATAGCAAAGCAGAAATCTAAAGACACTCGCAGACAAAGTCAACTTCCCTTGAACCAATATTTAGAATCTGGATCGTCTAGAAGTGAACAAGCTATTTTTAATGAAGGTTTATGCAAAGCTTTAGTGACTTCGAATATCCCTTTAATACGATTAAATAATCCAAATCTCCGATCATTTTTACGAAAATACTGTAAATTTAATATTCCAGAGAAAAGTATATTACGCAAACGTGGTGTTGACAGTTTGTACATTGATACTCGTGAAAAAATTCGTGAGATTACCGTTGGAAACCATTTCTACATTATTGTGGATGAAACAACAGACTCTTGTGGTCGATATATAGCCCATTGCGCGAAGACATGCAAATTGGTCCATATCTAATCGCTTCAAAGCAATTAGATAAAACAAATAACTTGACAATAACTCGTTTTATCCAGATATAATTGTCTTCCTTTTTTCTTCCGGAAGCCGTTCCAACAGAAAAATGTTTATTGATGTTATCCGATGCTGCCCCGTACATGGTAAAAGCCGCACAACATTTAAAAATGTTTTATGAAAACTTAATCCATGTTACATGTTTGGCTCATGGCCTTAACAGAGTTGCAGAAGAAATTAGGTCTAACTTTCCTTTAATAAATGATTTAATTAGTAATGTAAAAAAAATATTTCTTAAAGCACCTCTAAGAACTCAATTGTACAAAG